AAAAAAAAAAAAAACAAAAAAAAAATTTGCCATTACACTGCTTTAAGTGTTACTTGCCTATATACGATGTTATGTATGTATAATATGTTAAATATACTTTTTAACCCTTGAAATAGCCAATAAGAACGTTTTTAACTATATTGAAGTTACCACATCCATTTAATAGAAAATTCCAATGGAGCGAAATTAGCCAATTTAGCTCGACTTTCATAATTCTAGGACAGATAAGCTGGTGCAGAAGTATATAGTCGTGCAGATAAAAGATTACATCAACATGCCTTAATGAAGAATAACAAGGAGAAAAGTTGATTGCATCAAGAATAAATGAAATAAATAGTTTCATCATTTCATCAGTCCTCTTTCTGCTTACAGTTATTGTTACATGTGAAACTCAAATAACATATTTCAATGTGAATATGCTTGCAAAAAAATGTTGCTGGCTATCTCTCATTCTATATCAGGAAGAATCATTAGTTGGTATCGTGTCCCGCCGTTCATAGTGGAAAATGGACTGATGCAGAAGACGTGCAGGAAACCTAAGGATTATGGAGAGTCTGTTTGGAGGTTGCAGAGAGGGGGGGGGTTATGTATTAGAGATATTTTAAAATATTTTGAATAAAATAGTAACTTATTCAATCTCTGCTTTTTCTACTTGTAATAGATGAAGTTTCAGCATCTTGCTTTCCTCCGTGTATCATCATAATCCCGGTCCCGGGTCCCGAATGCCCACGCGTAACATGCAACGTTTCACTTTGAAATCAGCGGAAGTTCCTGGCTTATCTTAGCTATATTATATTACTATATGACATTTTAAAACCATGTTCATAAGAAGTCATGAAGGGAGTATGCAAATGAGAATATTTCTCTCCTTATATCATGGGGATATTTTAATCTTTTAATCAATCATGCAAAAGAACTATTTAAATATAGTAGGGGGAGAGGGCTCATTTTTTCTATGAATAATCTTATGCCGTAGTTTGAATACATTGTCTGCAAGTTTCTTGTGTTTTCGACTTATGTCCTCCGCTCCCCCGTACTTTTTCCTGTCGGATGGTCAAAATACCCATATGCAACGATCGATTGGAAAGAGAAAAAAATGTGCAGAAAAGTACCCCGTCCCCCCTTGAAATAGAATTTAAGGTGTGGTATACAGGTTGCCTGTGTTTTATTTATTTATTTTTGCTTGTTATGATTATGATCTCATGATGGGGGTTGCCCTCTTTGAAAATCGTTGCTACGGGTTAAGAGTGTCTGTTGTGTGAATCTTTGCATGGGTATCATGGTATTGACATGATTGAAGCACCGAACCTGGAACCTCGTATAATTCCTAAAAAATTTTCAAAAACTTATATATCTACTTTGTTTTACTCTAATGAAAAGGTGCAAGATGTTTACATTTTGAGCCAGGCAGTGTGGTTGCCTTGGAAAAGCTGATGCTTGTTCATGTAACTTGCAAAGTGACGATTTCTGGTCGGGATCGGCCTTATAGATTATGAACTACTATTATGGTCAGTCACTCAGTGGATTTTCCTTAGAAGTTAGAGTAAGATGATGACTAATGCAGCTTATTCAAAGTATTAGGCCTAAACGATGTCTTAACATTAAGACGTAAGTAATCAAAAGATGTAGATTTGATTTATTATGTCCATAAATATTTTTCTAATGGTACATGGTATTTTAAAGCCGAGTCTGAGGTGACGATGTGCTAAGCACGTGCTGATATCTAGGTCCATGTAAGCTGGGTAAATGCGTAGCCTAAATGCAGAAACATAAAAAAGATAAGAAGTTGCTATTAGACAAAGGTGATAAATTCTGGTTGAATTACCTTCTAGCTGGATACAAAATGTTTAGATGCACTTATGTTTGCAATTACAATTTACAGGACAGAACCGCTCAAAAGTAAGCATCCATACACATCTTATATCTGAAGAATAATTAACCCATGCAGTTATCTACTGCATGTACATGGAGTTTTCCTTTAAGGTTAAACTGACAAATATTACATTATTATTGTCAAAATGGATTCATAAGAATATCCAAGATAAATATCAATTAAGAATATCCATCTCCATTAATTAAAATTATTAAATTCAAAATAAAAGATTAATGTCAAGAGATCAACTTTTATCTGTCCCACTTATGCATCTTATTCTTCCCCTTTTCCGTGAAATGGAACCTTAACCCTAATTCTCTCCGTGCCAGGAGGCACACAAGGCCTGTGGTGAATGTTTGATTCAGTGTCACAAGGGATCTAGTCGGACGGTGGGCTTCCCTAAGGCTTTCACCCCACGTCGTCTTAACTGCCATTATTGGCGGTTCCTGATTCACAAAGTCTTTGTTGTCCAATTGTTTGTGTAACTGTGGATTTTTTCCAGGAGGAGGTAGTCGGCCTCCTGCCCAACCCCCAATCTTGGAGGACCAGTGGTTTTCTGTCAGGGTGTCCTTCCCTTATGCTGCGTTGGTCCACGGCACCTTCAGTCTATCTGGTGCACCCCTCACTTATTGAGGGATCCCCTATCCGCCACCCGGGGGACGTGCCTCCTAGCCGTGCAGCCCCAGCCGAAAGCTCATGAAAGGCAGCGGACATGAAATCTCATTTGTCTGTGTTACAAAAAACTTTAACTCATACCTTTTGAGTGAGAAGAGAGGGTATTCATATTTCACATATATATTACCTTTCCAAATATGCTATACCTGAGTTTTTTACCATGTGACTTTGACCTTGAAAGTTGACATACTTTACCATAATTTTTAAAAATACTTTGAATTGGTCATAACTTTTGACAGAGAAGAGATAGGGCTTTTAAATTCATATTAAATTTTTACATTACTTGTGTAAGTAGTCATGCAATAAATTTTCACAGCAGTAAATACCTAGGAATCGGTGTGAGGTCTTATAATGAGGCTGTAAAATTGACCGATATGTAATCTTGATAGATGAACATAGATGTTTGTTATTGAGTGTAGAACATTAGTTACTAAACTATCCAATTGCCTTCTTCTAATGCTGCAGTGGTCATTAAACAATGTTAAATGATAAAATTATAATGTGGGTCAAACTTTTGTTAAAAATAGATCACATGTACACTACAGGGTATTGCTAAAAAATATACCTGCCTCTGATTTCTTGTATTTTTCGAGAGGTTAATTTCATCTCTTCATTTCATATCTAAAACCAAATTACTGACATAAAATGTGTTACATAAAACCTATGTTTTATATCACTAACTGGTTGATGTATCAGTATTATATCAAAAGTAAAATTTGATCCAATGTTTTGATGATGTTAACTCTTAATTAATTGAACTGAACTGATTTTATTTTGAATACTCAATTTCACTTCTATGAATAAAAAATTATTATACTTTCTTAAAACAAGACTTTCAGATATAAAAATTATTCAGTAATAAAGTGGGATAAGGTGTTTTCTAGGGGATTGATTGATCTTATGCGATTTGCAAAAAAAAAAAAATGTTAATAAGAAATCTCTAGCTTTGAGACCCAAATTCTAGCTGAAAAATTTCAAATCTCCAGTTGTGAGTTCTGTCACATGTATGCAAGTTGTGACAAGACCATTCCAAATATTCTATGATTTTTATCCTGTGACCTTAAAAGTTTGATCTATTTTTCATAAAAAATTTTTAATGTTACTTCAAATCAGTCACACATGTAACTTTGCCATATATGTCCTAATGACATTAAATAGTCTGGTGGAAATTGAACTGTAATGTAATTCTTCTTTTGTGTTCACATGCAAACCATCACTGTTTCCATATTCAGCATGTTTCCTTGCCCAAGTGACGATAGATGAAAGAAGTAAATTATATTTATGCACATGATGTAGGTAGTACATGTAGTATATTTCCTGAAAAAATTGACATATTGTATTTATTGTGTTCACATATTATTGCAAATGAAATTTATATTACAATTTTACACTTAAGGACATACAAGACATTCCTTAATAATAGATAAAATTTTCCAAGATTTTGTCAATGAAGTATTGCTACTTAAACATATTTACTCACAAAAATTTGAGGTACCTTACCAGGCATTTCTGCAAGATACCAGGGGTAGTTTTTCTTATATAATCCTTTTGGGAGGAAAAATAATTTTCCAATTTCAAATGATTAAGTGTTTTGATCTTTTTTAACATTACTTCAAATCGTTGAGAATACTGGTTTAGAAATCAGAATGTAATTAAAATTTATATGAATATTATCCATACATTACGAAGATATACAAAACATATTTTGAGGAACGTCTCGTCTGACCTTAACAAAACTGAGAGACAATATGTAGTGATATATGTATCAAATATGCTTTGACCATTAAAGATGGTAAGAGTTCTCAAAGACAAAAAAATCTGAGTAATTTTGTACTTGATGGAAAAAAATTATTATCACAATTGCTAAAATGTAATCAAATTGACATTAAATGAAATAATGGGACTTGAAAAAGTCTTAAATTTTAAAACACAGGATAAAACATCTTTTTATTTACTGCTTCAGGGGAAAAGGTGCCATGGAATTCTCAGCCGACATCTGCAACACAAATAAAAGTTTAATCTCAATTCTTAAAATGAAATTTTACGCTTGATTTTAAAAGTCACATGAACATAAACATAAATTTTTTATGACTACCAGTATCATGCAAAATCTTATCATGCAATGATTACTAAATTACCAATAAATTCTGACCGCGATTGATTTGAAAGTAAATTTCTGTATCTTTGTGTCCATTTAATGTTGAGATATTACCCTTTTTTCACATCTTTTTTGTATGATGTCAATTAAATTGCTCCTTGGTCTCAAATGTTGTTTGCTATATAAATATTGTGATGCTGAGGTTTTCATTTAGAGAATAAATCATAAATGACAAAAGTTGCTAAAAAATGCCCATTCTAAACAAAATATAAAGATAGAAATTATTAAAAAACAATGCATTTTTAAAAAATATTGACTCTGTAAGTTCATTATAGAATAATCATTAGACAAGTTCTATCTTGTTTTTAAATAAACTTTAACAGCATCATGATAGCTGTAATATACTGGCATGGCCTCTAATCTTGCTTCCATGTGTTCTGTAATGTAAACATGATCTAACACTGAATTGCTGTCTGTTGTTGAAAAATTCACTTTTTGTTGAAATCCACTCGTTTCTAACATTCTTTGAATTGGTCCTTTGGATTGTGCATCTTCGTTGAAATCGCCAAGTATAAGGCATTGAGAAAACGATTCTCTATAGAAATCTACAACTCTCTGAAGGGAGTCAAGGAAGCAACCGACATTGAGAGAATTTGGTCGATATACTATGATGATAACCGTGTCCTCCTCACAAAGTTCTACAGCCATTCCTTCTATATTTTTCTGAGGTAAAACATGAACTAAAGCTTTTTCGTTTCCCTTCATATACACACCTACCCCTCCTCCTTTGGACTTGCGAAGTTTAGCAAAACTGTCTACACTTTCATCATATGACTGCTTCCTTGTAATATGATTGAATTGAAAGTCATCAAATTCAAAATTTTTTATTCTATCATTGTCTGTCAGCCATGTTTCATTGAGACATATAAGGTCTGCTTGGAGGAATCTTGCATCACTTTTCAGGTCAAGAAAATGTGCTCTTAAGCTCTGCACATTAAGTAAAACAACTGTTTTGAAGGTTCGCTCATCATAGTAGTTTGGATAATCTTGCTCTGGGATTAATTTCTCCATCTTACAAAGTGCTGACTTTATATCTGGATTAGCGTAAATTTTTCTCAGTAATGCATTTTCATCCTTTGTTTCTATGAATAAACCATTTTGTGAAGTGACACGGCTAATAGCAACATATGCCTGTCCTGGAGCGAAAGTACGATCTAAATTTACTACAACGCTGTTTGTTGTCATGCCTTGAACTTTATGTGCTGTGCATGCCCATGCGAGTTTCAAGGGAAACTGATATCGTACAACATTCTTTGTATTTTTCTCCTTGATGTCTTCTTGTATTCTTTGAATCAATACTTCATTTCCATGTTGCGTCTTTTTCCCTTGCAGCTTTCCAATATCTTCACTATCAAACAAAATTCTAATCCCTTCTACCCTATTTCTTTGCTGAGCTTGTCCAAAATCAAATCCTGAAATATGTCCCATCGCACCATTCACCAGTCCGTCTTCAACATTAATATTTCTTGTCAGCATCACTCTAGCATTCACAGAAAACAGCAAAGAAGCAGAGAGCCCATCTGTTCTTGTCCGTATGAAGGGTTTTTCACGTAAAGTCAGCTTTCCTGTAGTGTTGTCTTTTTGATAATCTTCTGCAGATATCTCTATCAGTTCTTCACAACTTGCTTGCAACATCTTGAGATTATACTCATTCGCTTCTTCATTTGTAGGATACACATGCAGTACTTCATCTGGTCCATCTCTGATGCAGTCTTTTAACATTGTTTTCGCATTTTCTGATACTGGTTCTTCAATCGTTCGAACCCGTAGTGAATTCAAAACTGTAGCAAATGCAGCATCATCACGTTGTCTCATTATTTCTTCTAACTCAACAATTTTGAAGAAGTCTAACCAGTAGTCTATGGGATATTCATCATTTTCTTTGTAGAGTATTTCCAACTTTCGTTGTTTCACAGGAGGTAGTTGGTAAAAATCTCCAACTGCTATAACAGAAATACCACCAAAAGGTTCCTTGCATTTCTTGATTTGTACCAGTCGTTCATGAATGTAATACAAAAGTCGTTTGTAAACCATTGAGACTTCATCGATGACCAAAATCTGCAGAGAAGCTAACTTTGCTCTCATTGCACTCAAACTCTGTTCTTTCAGGGGTTCGTATGGAATGGGTAGAGCTTTGGTTAAAGAAAATACGTGATGAATTGTATTGCCCCCAATATTGAAAGCAGCAGTTCCAGTAAAAGCTGTGAGAAGAACAGATAAATCTGAAGGAGATAAAACAATTTTCTCAAAAATTCGAGAGGCCTCATACTGTATGGTTTTTATCAAGTGACTTTTCCCTGTTCCGGCACCTCCAGTAACAAAGATATGTAATGGGTCTACTTTCCTATCAGCCACTTTTTTCAAGCACCATGCACGAACAATGTAGAAAACCTGTTTTTGTTTATCATTTAAACTTCGCAGTAAAGGCAAAATTTCTTCCCTTGAGTTTGAACTTTCCCTAATATGGTATATCAAATCTGAAGCGCCATCATGTTCAATTTCATGGGTGATTTCTTGTTCTTTGTTTTCTGATTGTTCTGTTTTTCTCTTTTCCTTTAGACATTCATCTCGATTTCTTTCAGTTTCTGGACAAAGGTTAGCCCAAGCATCTTCAGGTTCACCATAAACTTCTAGAGTTTCCTGAGCATTTTCAAGGGCAGCCTCATTCTTTGAGAAATTACAACGATTATTTTCAACCACAATCCTGACTGACTGTAATTTGTTTCCAGTTCTTATTCTGACAAACCCGTTTTCGTAAAATGCCTGATAATTGAATCCAGGTGGTTTCAATTGATCTTGGGTCCAATATGGAAGAAAAAGCTGTAGTATTGACTGATAATACTTTTCTGATGCATTTTCAGGATTGAACCTTGGATATCTTACTATGGCTGGCTTAGCTCTTGTTCTTCTCTGAATGTAGCCATTTCCATTTTTCAATTCATAAACACCTTCTTTTACTCCCTTTGGAATTTGAGATTTCGCCAAAACACGATACTCTGAGCAAAATTCTGCAAGGCACATTTCAGGAAAAGGATGTAGATCAGGACGATTTTCATATCTCTCCACTATATTTGTCATCCAAATACTGTCGTCATCATCTTCCAAATCATCTTCGTTCTTACATGTTCTTTTCATTTGTGAAAGAGGTTTACTCAATCGAGTCGGATTTTCACCAACTGGAACAAACACCACTTTTCTTGATCCTTCTTTCATTTTTAGATTACAAACTCTGTACACTGCTTCTTGGGCACTCACTTCTCTATGATTAAGATAAGCTGATCCAATTCTTCTTATTGTTTGACGAGCACTTAAATTTCCCTCTACAGATTCTACTTGAGTTTGTTTTAACAGCATTCCCATTTCGCGTTCTGACTTTGATATGTATGAAATTATGTAAACAATACAGCTAAATGGGTCTAGGATATACTGTATGTCCATATTCGCATCCCAACATCTGAGAAGGCATGTGTTGTATTGGTTTGTCCACATTTCATCTGGATTTCGTTTCAAGATAGTACTTGTTTTTGCAGATAATACCCTATGGGCCATTTCATAAGTATCCTGTGATAAGTGTATCTTAGTGAATATTTCCTCTGCAGTTTTGCCTTCATTCACATCATCAAGAACTTCATTCCAAACATGCAGCAAAATATCTTTAGCCTGAGATTTACTCAATCCATTGAATTTCTCCGAGTCTTCCTCATTTTCCTCACATTGTCTCGTAATAAATGTTCTTTCTGATGGTGGTCTTGGAAAGTGGAATCTACAGTCTGTTCCCTTTTTCCTACAGGATTTTGAATGGTTCTTACTATGTTGTTGAACATCTAAAACAATTTTTCGCAGCTCTTGGTCATCATTTTCAGCAGGTAAAGCGCATGTGATATATTTATCAATAAAATCACAAACAGTTTCATCACCATCTTCCTCAAATTTTGGTGCATTCTCAATCCAGTACAAGCAGTGCATGTGTGGAGAGCCCCTTTGTTGAAATTCTACTCTCACAAAAAAATCAATAACATTTCCTATAGGTTTTGAAGGTGACAATATTACATGTCTTTGAAACATATGAAATCTATGTTCAAACATTCTGGCAACAGTAACTGGATTGCTTCTCAAAATCTCACTCTTTTCTGACCAGTCTAAATCAGAAGGAGATCTAGAATCATTTTCTTGAAATAAAATTGATGCAATTATTTCGTTCCATCTATATTCAGCTGCAGAAAATGAACAAAACCATGTTGGGATACCTAACTGTCGAAGCATAGCGAACAGATCTTTCTGAGAAGCTGACCAATATGCAGGTGTTCCTCGAATGGGTTGCATAAATCGTAAAGCCTCATCATTCCTCAAGAGTCTTGAGAGAACATCAGGATTCTGTAACATTTCAGATGTTACTGCATTTCCACTATCAAGCTTTGAAAAAGACTTTCGAATTGAAATTTGTGTTTTCTCTATTACTTGGTTCAATTCTGACATGTATTGAGAGAAGAAGATGTAATTTGTGTCCTTAGCAAATCTGTTATCAGCATTCATAAGTCTGTTGTTAAAATATCTTGATAGGGTTATTTTCACATCTCGATCTTCATTCCAAGAAAAGTTGCCACTTGGAAATAAATGTGGAAATGATTTTGCTTCGTTTCCTTCTTCTTGCAACATTCGGACTGGATTTTTCCCTTCGCCTGGTGCTATATTGTAAACATCATCAAAGTAATGATCAAGAACTTCTTGTGCCACATCTACTGGCTGTAAACATGTGTCAGTAGCAACTGGGTTTTCATCTCTCTCATCTTCTTTCACTTCTTCATCTACAAATTCACTAGTCTCATTAAATAGCAAATCATTTTGGTCACTATTTCCTTCCCACAAGGTATTGATCACTACGTCTTTATACCATTTGTTTTCTTTCCTTAAATAATCAAGAGCCATGTTAACATGAGTTGGATTAACAAATTGGTATTCGTAATAGCCCTTGTACGCAAGCTTTCGTTTTAGCTTAACTCTTAACAATAAATTGTCATCCCCATTTCTTGGTAAAGCTGTTGCCTTTTCCATATTTGATGGCACACAAACAACAGGCCCATGTACATTCCTTTGACCACCTTGTGGAAGAGCCATCACTTTCATAAAGGGAATATGCAAAGCAATTAAATGCTGCTCCAAACTGTTTAAACTGCTAAGCTCGCATGGAATTTCCTCTAATGACATTTTATTAACAGCTGCCTCTGCTGGAATATTCCCACTCAATATTTTCCTATGACAAGTAAAGCATATCCACAATGATGACTGGGGGCAATGCACTGAACACGACAATGTACAATCATGGGAGCATTTTTTCTGTACACAAATCTGTGCAATTTTATAAGCTTCATGTCTTTTCTCATACATTTCAAGTGTGCATCGTTGGACTTGATGTTCAAACAGTAAACGATTACAACAGCAACATGTGTAGTCTGGCCCATCTCTCACACTTTCCTTAAACAATATCAAAACTTCTTCTTCATCTTCCAACTTTACTTTTAGTGCTCGTCTCTGATTCAGGACATTCTCCTTCTTCTTCTTTTTCTCAGCAGCACTAAAATGATACTTTACTTTATTAACAGCCTTAACCTTCTGTCTATGTTCTTCATCATTCTTGTACTGCTCTATACTTCTTTGTTTAATAGCCACTCTGTGTTCTTCATCATTCTTGTACTTTTTAATACTTCTTTGTTTAACATTCAGTCTGTGTGCTTCATTATTTTTGTACTTCTCTATACTCTTTTCTTGGTAATTCTTTCTGTGTACTTCATCATTCCTGTACTTTTCTGCACTTCTTTGTTTTAAATCCTCTCTGTGTTCTTCATCATTCCTGTATTTTTCTGTACTTCTTTGTTTCACATCCTTTTTGTGTACTTCATCATACCTGTACTTTTCTGTACTTCTTTGTTTTACATCCTTTTTGTGTACTTCATCATACCTGTACTTTTCTGTACTTCTTTGTTTTACATCCTTTCTGTGCAATTCATTATTCCTGTACTTTTCTTTACTTCTCTGTTTTACATCCATTCTGTGCAATTCATCATTCCTGTACTTTTCTTTACTTCTTTGTTTAACATCCTTTCTGTATTCTTTATCATTCTTGTACTTATCCATACTTCTTTGTTTAACACCCTCTCTATGTACTATATCTGACCTATATTTCTCAATACTTCTTCTTTTCTTGTATTGTTTATGGATACCATCTGTTGTGTATTTCCTTTTACAAGCTTCCAAGCTCCTCTGTTTTGCCTTTGCTTTGAAAATTCCATCACTTTTATATCTTTCCTTACCATTTGCGATTGCCTTTAATCTAAATTGAAGGTCAGTCTTGTACTTCAGTTTTGCTGCTCTTAATTTCCTTTCTGTGTAATTTCCATTCTTTAGTTTCTTTTCATGATCTGTACTTAATTTTTTGGCCGATGAAAAGATACGCATTTCCCTCATACGATTTCGATTTCTACGTCTTTCTCTGTAGCCTTTCTTGCCAACATACAGAGCATTATTTTCCTTGGAACTAATCGTTTCTCTCTCAGTAACTGACATCACTACATTATAATGATTCTGATCCTGATGAACTAAATAAAATGACCCTGTGCTTTGAACATTCATAGGTTCTACCTGTTTTCCTGAGAATGTAACCCAGTGATTTTCTGTATATGTATGTATATCAGTGCTCAAGAGGTGAGAGAGAGCAAGAATTTCCATTTCAGTTGCCCATGTACCATCGTTTGACATACCTGTTAAATTCAAGTGATTTTCAACAGAACTTTCTGTAGATCTTACAAAAGTTTCAAACAGTGTTCTATTTTTTAGTAGATGTTCACACACTGCTGATCGTATTGCATAATGATAATCCTCTACTCCAATCAAACAAAATGAAATGGCCCTGAAAAAACAATTTCCATCCCCTTCAATTTCAACATATTCACTGGGTGCACCTGCTTCTCGCACAAAGCAATCCTGTTCAACATTACTATTTGTACCTGACTGTGGTATTCCCAGAGTCTGACAAAGCTGTAATTTCACAGTGTTAGAAAGTGGCAGAAAACTTATACTATGACTTTCACTGCAAATGAGTTCAACATCATCATTGGCAACTGATTGAAAACCATTAGCATCTGACTGAACATTTGCAGTCAAAAGGTCTATGTTTTCTTGAAATGCTAAATTCAAGTCTTTATTTTGCTGATTACATTTTCCTGGCTCGATTTCAATTACATGTTTATCAGTTGTTGCAAACTGGCTAACTGAACAATCAACACCTGTTATTTCACATTCAGTAATTCCAGAAATTCCCATTGACATTGCCAAGGACAATATGTGATTGTAAATATCATCAACTGATTGATACAGTATCCTTGTACTCCTTCCAGTTACACTCATACACCCCGATTGTGATCTTGAATGTGGATCAAATGTAAAGAAGCCATCCTCTGTTTTTCCAACCAAAAAAGTATTTCCCTTGAAGCATACAAAACACCCACTTGTTTCTCCAAGACCAATTTGCAATGCATCTGTCAGTGAATATGCATTAAATTCATCATAGTTTGGTTCTACATTTGACAAATTTATTAGGCTGCATAGAGATTCGCATGCTTTGAACTCAAACATTGTATTAAAACACTCAAAAAATTGAGGCAACTCGTTCACAAAAAGATACCTACTGACAATGGTTGAACTACGCTGTAGGTATGTATAAAGCTCATCTCCTGTTGCTAACACTTTATTCATATCTGAAGTTTGCCACTGATTAGAATTCTTTACTTTATGGTATGCTAATGCTGCTAACGAGTTCGCAACACATTGTGTTCCTGCATTTTCACCAAACATTAAGTCACCTTGATGAAAAGACCCTTGAATAGATACCTTGTCCAATGTTACTGGTTCATCTTTATTTACACAAGCATAGTCACCACCAAGTTCACCAGTACACAGTCTTCCAATTCTGCACTCTGATTTATTTCTCTCATATACACTATCTATATTCTCATTTTCATCATATAAATTCCTTTTAGTATCCTTTTTAGATCTCGTTCTTTTAATCTGGTTTGCATCAATCAATATCCTGCTGGACTCATCCCCCTTGGAGGATGACATATCCAGCTGCGCCTGACCTGCTGAGTCAGACACGTGCACGGTGTCCGGCTCAGGTACCCTCGCTGGAGTACAAACCCACGGTGGGGAGTCAGGGGACGGTGCCATGCCTCCGTTTCGGGCACACAGACGACTTCCCTGAGAAGATGCGTTACTCAGGGCAGTTGGTTGCATTTTCTCGCGAAGAGAGGCCTGCAACCTGGCCAAGGGTTTTTCCTCAAAAGGCGGCAACCCTACAGAGCCTTGCCCCGGAAAATTACCGGGTGGAGCTGAGATAGCTCCATCTACTGCTCCAGCTGGGACAGCAGAATCTGGAGGAGTATCTGATGATGGCAAGGACTGCTCCTGCCTCTTTTCCCTCTTGCGGTCTTTATCTCTCTGGCGTTTTCCCCTGCCAGTCAAGGTCTTTCTCTTTGGCATCTAAAAAAACATTTTTCCCATATATCAAAACAAGATATTCATATTAAATTAGAATAAGGATACCAAATAAAAAATTTAATCACCTTGCACTCCATAACAATGTCTTTTATGTTCTACACTTTAAGCTATGGCTATTAACAGGATATATTTGTATGTGTACAAATATTTGTATGTGTACAAAATTTGGTTTATTCAAAATTTAGTGCAATCTATAGATATACAGTTGTTGGCTTAATCATGAATTAGCGCTACACATGTCTGTGATGAATATCTGTATATTGTATTTGTAAATGATTTTATTAGCAGTAATCGTGAATTTAAGACCATCATTGTCTGCGCCAAACCTGCTTAAAAATAAAGCACTCTTTTTATTAAGTACACATACAGTACCCCTTATAGGCCTAAAATAACAAGTGGCCCATGAGCCACATCGCTCACCTGAGAAGCTTTGACAATGCTGTTCTTTACCAGATTCCCCCCTTGTAATACACCTATACATATTGTGACCCCATCCTACCCCACTAATCATAATTTGGACAATTTGAAATCTACACTATCCTAGGAATCTTTCATATAAGTTTCAGCTTTTCTGGCCCAGTGGTTCTTGAGAAGAAAATTTTAAAGATTTTTCCTTTTTTATCGCTATGTAAAACTTTGATTCCCCATTGTGACCCTGCCCAACTCCGGGGAGTCATGATTTGAACAATTTAAAATCTACACTACCCAGGATGCTTCCACATAAGTTTCAGCTTTTCTGGCCCAGTGGTTCTTGAGAAGATTTTTCCTATATATTTGTATGTAAAACTTTGATTCCCCATTGTAGCCCCGCCCTACCCCAGGGGTCATGATTTGGGCTATTTGAAATCTACACTTTTCCAGGAATCTTCCATATAAGTTTCAGCTTTTCTGGCCCAGTCGTTCTTGAGAAGGAGATTTTTAAAGATTATTCCTTTATTTTTCTATGTAAAACTTTGATTCCCCATTTTGGCCCTGCCCAACCCCTGGGGGTCATGATTTGAACAATTTAGAATCTACACTACCTGAAGATACTTCCACATAAGTTTCAGCTTTTCTGGCTCATTGGTTTTTGAGAAGAAAATTTTAAAAGATTTTTCCTATATATTTCTATTTTAAACTTTGTTTCCCAATTGTGGCCCCGTCCTACCCCCGGGGGTCATGATTTTAACAATTTAGAATCTACACTACCCAAGGATGCTCCCACACAAGTTTCAGCTTTTCTGGCCCAGTTGTTCTTGAGAAAAAGAATTTTAAAGATTTTTCCTATATATTTCTATGTAAAACTTTCATTCCCCATTGTGGCCCCGCCCTACATGTATCCCCGGGGGTCGTGATTTGAACAATTTAGAATCTACACTACCCTAGGACGCTTCCACATAAGTTTTAATGACCCCACCCAAATTTTGTCTTTTCTTGATTATCTCCCCTTGTGAGGGAACTTGGCCCTTCATTTAATAATTTAAATTTCCTTTCATTCAAGGATGCTTAGTACCAAGTTTGGTCAAAATTGGCCTAGTGATTCTTGAGAAGAAGTCAAAAATGTGAAAAGTTTACAGACGGACGGACAGACAGACGGACTGACAGCTAGACGGACGGATGACGAACAAAATTTGATCAGAAAAGCTCACTTGAGCCTTCGGCTCAGGTGAGCTAAAAATTTGTTTGGTTGCAGTTGCCTCTGACCCACTGAAAATGCACTGACACTAACTTTCTTTTAGTCATTTTGTAAAAAAAGAAAAAAAATCAATTGTTCTGGAAAATGGAAGTGTTTCATTTACATGTACAATTTTTTACTTCTGTTTTTCTCAATCAGTGTTTTATAACAAGAGTGGAGCTTATTCATCTTAAGTAGGCCTATGAAAATCTCTTTTATTTGTTATCTAACAAAAATCCTTAAACAATTTTTTTTTAAAAGAAGAAAAGAATGCCTACCTACCTAACCAGTCTAAAAATAATAAATTGGCAACTGCAAACAAAGAATTTTATAAGCTTGGCCTTATCGGTAACTTTACCTTTAAACTTTAATCACAGCTCTAACACAGCTTTGCATTGTTTACAATTGTAATGTCTTTACAACAGTACATGGTATAACTAGGACAGATCTTAAGAATCATATTTAAAGAATTCTGGTCCCCCACTTTCTTGGTCAGTTCAATGTTGTGATGCAATTAATAGTGGGTTATTGTAACTGTCTTGTCTGTATGTCATGTCTTGTTCTAACATTAAAAAAGGATTTTTTTTTTTGATTAATAACAGTAAGGACCAATTTGTTTTTGTAAATGAATTAAACTTCAATTGTAAAATATGACTTCCATATCTTTTCTCGTGTAAAAGTTATGACCATTGTCCATAGGGTGCAGTGGTTAAATGCGTCTACTCTAGTATTAACCAAGATCCAGTGATGGGAAGGTCACAAGGTCAACAAGAGGCCCATGGGCCACATCGCTCACCTGAGTAACTTGGGTGATGCAGATCTTTACCAGATTCCCCCTTTTGCTATACCTATCATGCCCAACAACGCCCTTCCCTTTTTTATTTTTAAACTTTAGAATCTACACTTCTCAAGGATGCTTCCACATAAGTTTCAGCTTTCCTGGCCCAGTGATTCTTGAGAAGAAGATTTTTAAAGATTTGTTCTATATATTTCTATGTAAAACTTGGATTCCCTATTGTGGCCCCGCCCTACCCCAGGGGGTCATGATTTTAACAATTTAATATCTACACTTCCCAAGGATGCTCCCAAATAAGTTTCAGCTTTCCTGGAACAGAGGTTCTTGAAAAGAAGATTTTTAAAGATTTGTTCTATATATTTCTATGCAAAACTTGTTTTCCCTATTGCAGTCATGCGCTACCCTCGGGGGTTATGATTTTAACAATTTAATATCTACACTACCCAAGGATGCTCCCAAATAAGTTTCAGTTTTCCTGGCCCAGAGGTTCTTGAAAAGAAGATTTTTTAAAGATTTGTTCTATATATTTCTATGTAAAACTTGGATTCCCTATTGTGGCCCCAGCCTACCCCCGGGGGTCATGATTTTAACAATTTAATATCTACACTACCCAAGGTTGCTCCCACATAAGTTTCAGCTTTCCTGGCACAGTGGTTCTTGAAAGAAGATTTTTTAAAGATTTGTTCTATATATTTCTATGTAAAACTTGGATTCCCTATTGTGGTCCCACCCCATTTTTTTCAATTTTAACACCACCCAAGGATGCCTAATAGCTCTACACTGGTTCGGAGAACCAAAGATTTGATATATTTCTATGTAAAACTTGGATTCCCTATTGTGGCCCCGCCCTACCCTCGATAAATTTAACAATTTAATTTTACATCACCCAAGGATGCTTCCTAAGGCCCAGTGGTTCTTGAGAAGAAGATTTTTAAAGATTTGTTCTATATATTTCTATGTAAAACTTGGATTCCCTATTGTGGCCCCGCCCTACCCCCGGGGGTCATGATTTTAACAATTTAATATCTACACTACCCAAGGATGCTTCCACATAAGTTTCAGCTTTCCTGGCCCAGTGGTTCTTGAGAAGAAGATTTTTAAAGATTTGTTCTATATATTTCTATGTAAAACTTGGATTCCCTATTGTGGCCCCGCCCTACCCCCGGGGGTCATGATTTTAACAATTTAATATCTACACTACCCAAGGATGCTTCCACATAAGTTTCAGCTTTCCTGGCCCAGTGGTTCTTGAGAAGAAGATTTTTTAGTGACCCCACCCTATTTTTGTCTTTTCTTGATTATCTCCCCTTGTAAGGTGACTTGGCCCCTCATGTTAACAATTTAAACTCCCCTTCACCCAAGGATGCTTTGTACCAAGTTTGGTTAAAATTGGCCCATTGGTTCTTGAGAAGAAGTCCAAAATGTGAAAAGTTTACAGACGGACGGACGGACGACGGACAAAATGTGATCGGAAAAGCTCACTTGAGCCTTCGGCTCAGGTGACCTAAAAACTGTAAGTAATATCCCTGCTCTGATGTGAATATACAGTCTGATATCAGATATGTATCTAAACAACTTCTGTTACGGATAGACACAGGGATAAATAGGGGTGATCAAATTTGTACAAAAATGATTACAAACAAAAATTTGTCTATATGTATAATATGGACAGTTCTATTTTTCAGTTGATTACTCCAAGGACCCAGCATGCATCGTCAGAGTTTGTTGATCAAGGCCAATAAGTAACGTTGACTTACTTTTAAGTGAACACAATATGAGGTCTCAATTAGTTGCTTCAATTGACAATATTTGATTAATAAACCTAGTCCTTATAGTAACCAACTTATCAAACTTTTATTACAACATCCAATTTCCAATTTCCTTAATTAATTAGACATCAAACAAAAGACCCATAGGCCACATTGCTCACCTGAACAACTTTGCTGGGGAAAAAAGCAGAAATCTCTTCAGTATTTTAAAGTTTTCAATGGGGAGGTGGGACTTGAATATTAAATTATTCTTCCATAACAATATAACAAATATCTTTGCTGTTCTTGTGCATATTTTTTTATTCATAAGCAAAAAAATGATCCCCCCTTGTGGCTCATCCATGCCCCTGGTGACCTTAATTTGCATCAATTTTATTTTAAACTACCTGGGGATGTCTCCAAATCAAAATGAATAAGCATGGCTTTTCTGTTCTTGAGAAAAAGATTTTTTTCCTTAATTTATTTATGTAAAACTTTGATCCCCCATTATGGCCCCAACCTTGAGGAGAAGATTTATAATATTTTCCTATATATCTCTATATTAAACTTTGACCCCCATAATGGCCCCATTGTGGCTCCACCACTCCTAAAGATCATGATTTAAAATAAAAAAAAAAAACATTTGAAAATTCACTACCTGAGGATGCTCCTATATACATTGTACACATGAGTAATCACAAGCTCACTAAATGAAACCCCCCACCTCTCACTTCAATATAATGGCAGTGTCCATGTTTTGCTATGGTAAACTAAAAATGTGTCA